TGATAATTCTATGTTTATCCTTTTGTGTGATGTAAATTAAATGGTAAATAGTAGTTCATGCAAGGAAAGAACATATCAATATTCGCATATTCATACAAAAAAATGAAAATTCTTAATAGAGTACCCTCATTTCTTATTAAATTCTTAAAAAACAACATTTATAATGAATTTCAATAATTTTTTCATATTTTTTTTAAGATTTAATCCGATTGATTCAGCCGATTTCCGATCCAGATCGCCTATTCGCCGATCCGAATGGGTTTTTTAGATGCCCGATCCGAATCATCGATCCGCTTTTTAAACCAAGTTTCTCCCCCTTTTTTGGTTTATTTATTTTTCTTTATTTTTCCATTTTCTCCTCTCTTTTTTTTTTTTTCCTTTTCTCCTTTTTTTGGGGTTAGAATAACACCATTTTCCTCTAAAACCTTTGTAATGGCCATTAATGTTATAAATCAGACATAGAGCTATCCATTATGTAGGAGAGAGAGAGAGAGAGTTTGTACTTTGAATCATATGGCCAAAAAAACGCAACGGTGTATCATCCCATTTGTAGAAATATTCAAGATCCCTCTCTCTCTCTCGACAACTGAACCTTCCTATATACAAAACTGATAACAAAAGAATAGCAAGCGACTTCCACTTCCATATCGACACCCCCCATTATACAAACAGCTCCACCAAGATTGCTTCATGACCCACCCCTTTATACAAACAGCCTCACAAAGCCTGCTTCATGTCAAAGTCTGAAGTACAAGCTGCTGTTCTTACAGCCCTCCCTTCTGTTAATACGAAAAGGAGCAACTCTTTCCCTCTCATCTCTCCCCTCCGGATTTTTGCTGCCAAGGAAATGGATCCCCTCTCTTTCCTTTCTGTTACTGTTAAGGACATCAGCACTCTCTCTCTCCTCTCTCCTCACCTGATAATAAATGTCCTCACTCTCTTCACTCCCATTTTGATTTGGAAAAAGGCTCAAATCAGGAGGCTCCCAGTTTATTTCAAGCATCTTGGGAGGCTTTCGGCCGATACCCAATTCAAGATCAAAGTCCAATTTACGGATATCCACTTTTGGAGTGTGCTCCTCAACTGCCTCAGGAAAAAGTGGGAGCAGTTGAGTGGCATCAAGTCTGCAATTGTTCTCCGAAAGGCCCTGGTAACTTTCTCTCACTGAATTTTTATAACCATTTTCCTTCCCTTCATTTTCCTCCGAGAGTTTATGAACAGGACTGTGATTTAAGACCTGTAAATGACATGGTTAATGGCCAAAATAGTATTAATATCTTTGCAAATGCAATTTTGTATAGTTCCACATGGTAAGAAAACTAACCATGAAGTGCCTCAGGCAACATCCAGAGAACTACAAGAAAAAAGGAATGGTTTTACCAAAATTTTTACAGATCTGGTTCTGGAATTGATAGATTTGCACTACTGCACCGATTATCTTTACAAAAAGATGAGATCACCTAATCTTTTAATGAGAATGATAAACTCTCTTACCCCCCTCCCCCACCTAGAGGTGGCAATGGAACTGGACCCAACCCAGATCCGGGTCCAAATATTGGAATGAACACTATACGGGTCGGGGTCCGGGTCCATGCAGACCTGGCCCGTTGCCACCCCTATCATCACCCCCCTCCCCCCCCCCCCTCTCCTTTCCCCCCTCTTCTCTCTCCTATCTCTCTCTCTCTATGAGATCAGGTAAGGTGGGCCCCACTGCCAGTGCACCACCTCTTAATTGACCAGGGAGGCTTTTTCTCTTGTAACTCCCACCCCCAAGCCAAGGGACACAGACATGGAGAGAGAGAGCGAGAGAGAGAGAGAGAGAGAGAAAGTTGTGTGTTAACACTATACTATAATCCAATGAACGATGGAAACAATGTGGTCTGATCAGTTGTCACCAACCATTGAGATACGAATAGAGTGGGAACCACCACTGAGGTCATGTCCTATTAATGAAAGAGAGTGAGAGAAGCACAGAGTAGTATGTGCAAAAAAAAAAGAAAAAAATCCAATGGACTATGCAAAAATCAAACTCTAATACATCATATCCATTGAAATGAACAAAGATGATAGAGTCTTGACTTCAACAACATCCTATGGTGACCAATATCCATCACCATCCATCAATCCAATGGAATGCAGTGACCAGATGGACAATCGTGCTTTCATCGTCCATAGAGTTACAGCACATAGAGTTACAGCATGTATCTTGTTTGGTATTTTATCAGAAACGAGTCCATTTCAGCAATTTTTTCGAAACCACTTTTGTTTTGAATCTCTTCTCATAACCACCGCTCTAGGCTACTTTCATCTAATTTACATGGCTTTCAATAAAGAAGAATAACTTACCTGTGATAAATCCTCCATGGTCTTTTCCTGCAAAACAGAAACTGAAATGGGTGGATCCTTTTCTGGAAAATCAGGAACTGGGATGGGTAATTCAGGCCTCTTTTCAAGCAAATTAGGACAATCAGAGAACATTGAAACCCTCGGAGACCTCCATCTCAGGTTCTTCTCAGCTTCATTTGCAACACTCTGTTTATTAGGTTTTGCCATAATTGGTTCAGAAAATCCAGGAGGTAAGTCAGGGTCCTCATCTGTCAAGGTCTTTTGTATCTTCTGGGTCATTACTAGTTCAGCGAACCTGCAAGCTTGTTCAGAGTGAGTGATATTCATGTTTTCCTTCTGTTTCCAGAAAGATAATGCAGAGAACTTTGGTGTCCTATCGAGCTCAAGTGGCATCTCAGCTTTCATATTGTGCCAATGAGCCCTCCCACTCTCACTGGATTTGAACCCACTTGCCCGAATGGTAGGTTTTGGCACAACTATATCAATACTCCCAAGCTCTACACCCCTTTCCATGTCAATTTCCATCTCCACAATCTCTGTCATAGAACCAGAAGCACTGCAGGGCCCTTTCGCTGAATAAATAGAACGACGAGTATCATCGTGGTTTGATGCAGTCTTTTCCACTTTAATGGGTCTATATAGTCCCCATAAGTACATATGCATGCTCAAGTCTGTAAAAACATAGATCAGGTGCTGTAAAAACCAACTAGAACATATGGCGTGCTATGCAATATAAAGCATTTTAAGATGACCAGAGCATACATGAACCTTGCATCAAACATGAGTATCACAAGACCAGAGAATTTTGAAATCAAAACAAGACTTCACAAAAGAAAATGACATCAACACATGAGGTATGGAGAAACAAATTTTCAAAGTATTGTTAATCAGAAACCAAATGCATATAATAAAGAACGATTTCTCCAATGACAGCCAAGTTTATGCGCACAATTGTGTTTGCTCCACTGTAAATATCTATAACAATCGTATGGTATAAGAGCGTCAACCTTTGATACTAGAATGTAAGAATCACCCGTAGCTATCAGATATATCATGAAATTGGAGGAACCAGTATTTCAAAAGTGCTAGGCAGGTCCTAAGCAGCCTTGGGTTCCAGACTGCCCAACGCCTAGGCAGGCACCCAGATCTTGGGCGGCCTAGTAGAAACAAAAAAGGACTCTATAGTCTCTAACAGTATAAGTATAACTGTATATTGTATAAAATATAAGAATTAGGTATTTAGGGCACACATCAAAATTCAAAAATATACTACACATTAGCACACACTCCATAAGCATAACTATAAGTCGTCCATATCCAATTAAAACTTAAAATTTACCAACCAACTTACCAAACCAAAGTTACCAAATACCAAACCAGTAGAACTACAAATCCACTATCCACCAATAGATTTATAAAACATAAAAAATTAAATATAATATCAATGGGTGATATTTTGATTAATTTCTCATAACTTTGATAAAACATTTCATCCTAAAGAAATCACCAAAAATTAATTTTTTTGGGCTCTAATATGTTTTAGGTTTCAAATAAACCTAAAAATCACAAATTTGGCCCCTTAGTATAAAAACAAAAAGACAAAAGATACCCCTACGGAATGTGTTTTCCACCTCTGGACGAGGCACAGTCCTTGGGCAGCCGCCCAGGGCTGGGCATCAGGTGGTCGCCTAGGCGGGTTCCTGGGCCATTAGACTAGCGCCCAGGGATTTCTACTTATTTTTGGCGCCTAGGCCCTGGACCGCCTAGGCGGCCGCCCAGGCACTGGGCTGTCCGCTTTTCGAAACACTCGGAGGAATATTTTCTCAGACTATAAGCACAATCTGTAGCACATTCCTAGCCATCCGATTATACATCTGACTGCTAGGGGAGATGATAACCTTCTTGTACCAAAGGTTAACAGTCTTATCATAGTATGTTAAATTTCCCTCTATAAAAATCCATTCAATATGATGACAGATTTGATATTCTCAAATAAAATTTGTAAATGAGAATAACTATCAGATTCCATATATGCATAAAAAACTCACTTTGGCAATCCAGGGGCAACTGTTTAGATGAAAACACTAGCAACTCTGCACCATTCGTGCAGTAGCTCATTGCTAAATCTTGGCCCACAATGTACTCCAAAAGATAAACATACTCCGTTCTACAATAGCATAAGCAGAAATGGATCACCACATAATTAAGTATCTTTCAGCACAAAAGTAGACAATATTCCCATTTACTTGAGAAACATAGTTCATCGGTCATCACCATCTAATGAAATGATGGACGGTAATAGAAAAGGAATAGGGCCCACCAGAACAGAACAGGACCCAGTGGTGGATCACATACACTCTCTCCACCATCTATCATTTCATTGGATGAAGAAACCTTGACAGGCTACAGTTTTCCATACTTTTAAAGTACTTTCCATCTTTCAAATATTCAGTAATTTAGTCTTGCAACCAAAAAAAACGAAAAAAAAAAGAAATTTAGTCGAAACCTATCAAATTCCCCAGGGAAGAAATAAAGTGCAATGTCTCTGTCAGTTGGAGGGGTTTCTATAAAAGACTTTGGCCACACATTATCACGAGAAACCAATTTAAAAGGCACATGGTACGGCAAGGTCTTTGAGAATTCATAAGCTTTAGAAGCCACTTCTTTAGAAGGATGAGCTTGTATTCCTTTACAGATATGCAAGAATGAGGCACACGAGATATTGAAGCTTCCCCTGGAAAAATGTTGAATTGTAAAAGAAATTTAGATGGGCAACATCACATAGAATAGAAAATCTACAACAAACTACATGTTAGGGAGAGAGTTATATTGATGCAATTATGTTTGTAAATATGTGTAAATATATATGCATGTTGGTGTCTAGGTGTATATATATATGTTATATAGGGTGTGTGTTGTATACGGTGGCAATCTTACTTGTAGAAATAAGATTGTAATGTTCTACATCGTCCATTTTAGTTGGACAAGGTGTAGATCGACACATTGTTTAAGACAATGTCAAAAAGAGACGCATCTTTTAAGATAGTGTCAAATCTACACCGTTCAAATACAATGGACGGAAGAAATTTAGTAACCTTCTACAAATAAGGTTGCAAACTTACGTCAACTTTTTTCATCTATATACTTCATGGAAGTAAGTAAATGGATTCCTGGATTTGTAGGTGGGAAAAAATTATAACACGATACAGCAATATTATTGAAGTAACAACTTCATAAGAGACGTGTGCAACAACTAATGCTGGAAAATAAGGAAATAGAAATAAAAAATCATGCTTCTACCGTGAAAGATCATAGTCTTTGAACATGGAGAAGCAAATTTCCAATACCCACCGGCCGTAAAAACGTTGTTGGTTCCAAATGCATGTTAAAATATAGCACCATGTATAAACTATGCATAGCATAGGAGAATCTTATTCTTTTAACAATTCTTTGTATGTAACATCTAAGTCTTTCAACCAGGTGAAGAACAAATTGACCTGAAGAGTAATTTTGTTTTTTTTCAAATACAGTTGATCTCAAAAATAACAGAGTATAAGACTAAGTTATGAGTGGTTTTGTTTCTTTTTCAAATATAGCATGGGAGACCCCAAAATTAGGGGTTGTTCTTTGAGTAACTAGGTAAAAGTTTCATTATGGTAACAATTAAAAGAAGAGGATTGAGCTCTTTCAGACCTTGAACTGACCGTCCAATATTTTTTACCTATAGGATGGTCGGTATTCATTCTTGGGGCAGAAATCTTTTTAAGCAGTTCTAGGGGCAATTAAATAGTTTTTCTTTTTTTTTCCTTTAAAATTGGTCAGTATAATAAGTATAGAACATCCTCAAAATTGGAGGTCCAAAGGAAACCCCAAAAAATAGACTTCTGTAGGGGTGGCAATCAGGACCCGACAGGTAGACCCGACACAGGTCCGGGTATGGGTCCAAGATTTGGACTTGGCGGGTTGAGTCCGATCTTGGAACTAAATAATATTCGGGTCTGGGTCCAGGTCCATGTGGAACCGACCCAAATTTTATTATCATGCATATACAAATTTAACATATTTGTTAAATATGTGCTTAATCCCCTCCATTATTCTCTCTCTCATTTTTTATTTCGGGTTGGATCAACCCCTAGACTTTTGGCCTAGGGTGACCACTGCAGTGTTACCCCCTAGAGTGATCAAATCCTTATCCTCATCATGAATTTCTATAAGATGCAAGACTTGGATCTTAATATCTGCACAATAGAAACATAGATACTAACTGATTATACACTAACAAAGAGGACACAATAATTTATGCATGCACATATAAAAGGTAACCTGTTAATGCCATTGAAAATCTATGCCAATGGAACACCCCACTGAACACGTTACATATGCATTCATAAAGCAATCGGAAAATCTCCAATTTGAACTAAATTTCAAATGGGATAAAAAAAGATAAAAGTACTCAACGATCAACCCTAAACTAACCATCCTGATAAGGATGAAACCCAGTTATTTTTAACAATAAAAATAAAATAGGATATGGCTCCAAGGAGAAGCAACACACTCCTATATGTCTTTCTTGAATGGAATCCACATCGATGACCTTATTTGATTTTTATGGCTGTTTTGCATGTTTTCCAGCATTCAGTATACCAGAATTTATATAAGTAAAGATTGTAAGCTCATACCAGTAATGGTCATAAACATAAATGCACTAACAAACAATTTGGCATATTACATACTTCCAAAGAGCATTTCGAACAGGAAAATTTCGGGATGTCTCCTCTGGAATTTTAGGTACATATGATGGCAGAATAACCATTTCACCGTGAGCCGCTTCCTTGAATTGAGTCTCAGGGAAAAAACCACCTGCAAAACGAAATGCAAATATTTGACAAAGGGGTAACCAATCAAGAAAAATGGCAAACATATGACAATCTATATACGTATTCCTGAAAATAGCTCTATGGGGAACAAAAGGAAGTGGAAATACAAGGGACAGTATTAAAAAGACAGTAGTAGTACACAAACATACAAAATCGTAATATGTTTCAGTGCAGCTTAGAAACAAACGACAGAACAACACTATAACTCTCTCTCTCTCTCTCTCTCTCTCTCTCTCTCTCTCTCTCTCTCTCTCTACCTAGTACGTTAGTTGTAGTAGTAGTGTACTACGTACTACGTACTTACCTTACTACGTACGTTACGTAACTAACTAACTACCTAAC